CATTTTGTGTTTGTTTATTTTATTAAATTGTTTAAATGTCCGCCGGTTCCCGTCTCCTTCTTCCCGAACTACGAACGTTGTTACAGACACCTATCGCAGCATTCCTATATAATCTCTATTCAGTATTATTCAGCAGCTTTTGAGCTTTGGAGCAAATTACCCTCCTCCATCCCCAGCTCCTCCTTTCGCCATAGTCAGGACTTGGCTTTCTGATATTCCTTGCTAATCAGACTCCTTTATCTTGAATAAAGTGTTACACTTAAATATCATTAAGTACATTAATGATATCTGCCTTGTTCTGTTCTGTTAACCCTAGGGGGTTATTATTGCTGCTCTTCAATTATTATTCATGACAGGCTGCATGGATGGGCAGGGAGGTTTTTGCCCAGAACAGAACCATACCGCCAAACCAAACTTTATGCTAAGTATCTATCATTTTGACGATAGTGGTCCTGACAGAAACATTGTCTTTGCCATGGATGAAACTGAAAACAGAACTTGTCTGTCATTGGATTAGTTAACGCGGTTACTGCCTGATATTGATAATCTCAAAATGGCCAAATACCAGATAATCTATTCCTGTGTAAATACATTTCTACTGCCTCGGTGTGCTGCATTTGAAAGCCTGTGTAAACACACTGTATATTAGCCATGTGGTTGGGTATTCTAAGGAATAAAACCTCTCTAGAGAGTCAAATTTCACTTATATAATTTGCATTTACAATATAATTTGCACATAACATCTTTTGTATCTTAAGTTGTACATCAGTGTTGCCAGATGTTGCCAGAAACTAAAAAAGGAACAAATGGAATTTTTTAATTCAAAAATTCAAATTTTGTGACAGCTGTCAGTTCAAAAGGTTTATTTATGACTGCGCACTGGCAGCTTCTGACAGATGTTGCCTTAATAACTTATTTCCATCTCTCTCTCTCTCTCTCTCTCTCTCACTCTCTCTCTTTCTCTCCTAGAGTAAATGACAGCATTCTCTTCGTGAATGACGTCGATGTTCGGGAGGTGACCCACAGTCAGGCGGTGGAGGCTCTCAAGGAGGCGGGTGCTATCGTCAGACTCTATGTATTACGCAGGAAACCCATCGCTGAGAAAGTCACCGAACTCAAGCTCATCAAAGGGCCAAAAGGTACGGACTCGTTGACCAGGTGACCTAGGCTCTATTCATCATTTACATTTATTCATTCAGCAGATGCTTTCATCCAAAGCGACTTACACGTGCAGAATACAACAAAGTGATTCATCACAGTGACTTCTAAACCTGCTGTGAGCTACAACGTCGTTAATCAGTGGTATATGCTTTTGTTGAAGCTATTTGTTTGCATTATTTCAACACCAGTGGAATTTGTGGCTAAAAACTTCATTACCCAAGATGCTGTGCAGAAAGCTCGACCAATCAGAAAGTCGCAGTGAGAAAATTGTGCTTTTTGTGTGAATTTTATAATCATGTTTAATTTGATTGTTATTTGCAATGCTTTATGGGAGGCCTGTTAAGGCCTGTTCACACCAAGAACGACAACTATCAAGATATATATAATGATAATTATGCATCCACATCGACACACAATAAAGTTCTGTTCATTAGAAGCACGTGCTGCAGTTTTGTTGTCTGCACACTAAATGCTTGTGCTCTTTAAAGGCATAGTTCTCCTAAAAATGAAAGTTCTGTCATCATTTCCCCACCCTCCACTTGTTCTAAACCTGTACGAGTTTCGTTTCTTCTGTTGAGCACAAAAGAAGATGCTTTGAAGAATGTTGGGAACCGAACAGTTGACGGTAGCCATTGAGTTCCATAGTATTTTTTTTTTCCCCACACTGTGGAAGTCAATGGCTACTATGAACTGTTTTGTCAGAAAAGCATCCAAAGTGCATCTTTTTCAAATAACGAAGATCTGAAAGCTCTGTTCATGAAGAGATATGCCACCCCTTTCGTTTCTGTCTCAGGGCTAGGCTTTAGTATAGCGGGTGGTGTGGGGAACCAGCACATCCCTGGAGACAACAGCATTTATGTCACAAAGATCATCGAGGGAGGAGCGGCTCATAAGGACGGGCGACTACAGATCGGTGATAAGATACTGGCGGTAAGACGACACATGTACATCATTGCTGAAGACTGACATGTGTAAAGATAGACTGTATTAGACACTTCAATGCCGCCACCTGCTGCTCACAGGAGGAACTACAGGCATTTATCTGCTTTAGCCTTCATTTTGATTTACATGCATCCCTGAAAATGTTCTATTTTATTTGTTGCCACTAGTGATGCAGAAATTGCACACTGCAACTTTAAACACAGCTTTAAAGTATAAAGTAACTGTCCATAAAGCACAGTTCTTACATTTCTGCTTTTAACTTGGCATGGAAAAAGAAGTGCACTTTGATGCCCTTTGTGGACTTAACTTTAGTACGTCTTTATATGTAATTTCATAATTAATTCTATTGTCTTTGCAGCTGAATGTACTGACAGACATTTATGGGAAACTAAAATATGCTTTAAAGTCCATGTATTTAAACATATTTGGAGCTATACATTTGTAATGGTGAAGTTGCAATTTAGCAGTGTTATTTTATTAGGTACTATTATAGTTTTTATTAATAATTTGAATAAGTTTTATATTTGCTGTTTTTATTTTAATTTGTTAAAGTTTTGGTAATTTTATTGTGTGTTTTTGTCATTTTTAATAGTTTTTTTTTTTTATGTCTATATTTGTTTCGGTTTTAGTTGTTTTACTACATCCAGTTAAACTTTTATTTTATTTCAGTTATATTTTATTTCGGTTATTGCTTATATTAAGTAACAAAAATGTTTTTAATGGTTTTAGTTTTAGTTTCAATTTTAGGTTTAGTTAACTATAATAACACTGCACTTTGGTACATTTTAAATATATTAACTTTAAATGCAATATTAAAATAACACACTACAGTTAAAATTATAGTCAAGTATTGACATGTACATCAAAATAAATGCGCACTTTAAAACACAGCAAAAGATCATTTAAAACATAATGATATAGAATGCACTTTAAATTAAAACTTTTCGTTTGACATCACATAGTGCACTTTAAAATGCACTTAAGTGTGTTAAGAAGCATAGTCATGAAAGTGAACTTCAGTGGCATTTTTACTTCATTAATCTTATATTATCTGCAAGTCAAGTTTTTTTTTTAATTATACTTTTAAGATATCAGTACACTACAAGTGCACAAGTGCATTTGTTTTTCACGAGGGACATGCGTCCCGTAACGTCAGTCTCTGCATCTGCAGGTGAATAATGTGTGTTTGGAGGACGTGATGCATGAGGACGCGGTGGGCACGCTGAAGAACACAGCAGAGGTGGTCTACCTCAGAGTGGCCAAGCCAAACAACATGTACCTTACCAACAACTACAACCCACCAGACCTCACGAGCAGTGAGTACACAGCACTCAGAGGCGCTGCTTCACAGATAAAACACAAGACAAACTCTTGAATAACTCTCAAGACTCGATGGCAGTCCTCACTAAATCCAGCTTTCCCTTCAGCGTACTCTCCGCATCTGGACATGGACCTCGGACATCCAAACCTCCTGGCCTCGGATTACCCACAAGCACTCACGCCCACCTCACCAAGCCGCTTTTCTCCAGTGCTGCATGGCTTGATGGGAGATGATGACTTACCCAGGTAATGAAGCTCATGATTCAGCAGTTCCTGCACAGTCCATGGGTTCTAATGTAAAGGAGCTCCCATCACCTTGCATCAGTGTTATTTTAGTATCGTTGAGATTCTAAATTAGTATAGTTTTTATTGACATTTTGAATTACCTTTATTTTTATATTTTCTGTTTTCATTTTAATTTTGATTGTAGTTCATTTTAGTAATTTTGTTTGTTTGTATCATTTTTCTATATATATATATATATATATATATATAACTGTATATGTCTGTATAGTTTTAGAACTATCATATCTTTTATTCATATTTTTAATGTTTTTTTTATTTTCAGATTTTATTTTTATTTTTAGTAATTGTATTGTGTTTTTGTAGTATTTTTGTGTTTTTTTAAATATATACATTTAAAAAAAAATGTATTCCATTTTTTTTGTTTTTTTTTAGTACATCAAGTTAAACTAAATGAAGATGAGAAATGTTGCTTTGTCAACTAGATTTTTTTTATTATTATTTAAATTAATTCCGTTCATATTTATTTTATTTAAAGTTATCATTTGTTTTAATTAGTTTTAGTTTTAGTTATCAATAATAACCCTGCCTTTGGTAAATAAAATAAATATTAATTGGCAGCTGAGATTAATAACTGAATTTTAGATTGAAGTCACACCTATGATGCAAACAGCAGCAGACAGAATTTGTATTTTCATATTGTTTTGATCAGAGCTTTGTTTTAAAGCTTATGGATTCAATATTTGGAATGTATTCGCTAAACAAAACTGATTTAGAGGCATTTTATATTTCTTATTAGTTATTCAAATAAGCTTAGTATGGAAAAGGAGTTCATTATATTTATTCAAATATGGCAAATTATGATCGAAAGTAAGTTGATAAGTAAATCCTTCAATTTTTTTTTGAGTATATTGAAATAATTTCTGCAGATTTCCACTGATTTTCTCCATAATTAGAGCAGAAAATGCAAAAAACTTATACAAAGGTTTTATACAAATACCTTAGTGATTGACACCAAAACTATATACGTTTTATATTTTACATAAATTCCACAATGTTTGCAAACTAAATTTAGCACCAACTGGTTACACATATTTATCATTTATCATTTCATATTTAGTTAGGCGTTCTTTGTTGCTCTCAGAAGTATGGAAGCTTGTTTCCTCCACAGAATAAAAAATATAAAAAGGTAATTGCAACTTTTTTTCATGCAATTGCAAGTTTATATCTTGCAATTCTGACTTTCGTGATGTTAACTCGCAAATGTGAGTTATAAAGTCGGAATTGCATAAAATAAATTTGCAATTGTAAGAAAATATCAAAATTGTGAGCTGACTTTTTTCCCTCAGAATTGGACTTTATAAAAGTCAGAATTGCAAGTTCATTTTTCACATTTGTGACTTTATTTCTCGCAATTGCGAGTTTATATCTTGCAATTCTGAGAAAAAAAAGTCAGAATTGTGAAACAAAAAGTTGAAATTATTTTTATTTTTTTAATTCCGTAACGGAAAAGTGATTACTGTCAACCAGCATTTTTTTTTTTTTTTACTGAAACATTAAATAGAGCTAAATCTTAACTGGTTGATCATTTATGTCATTGACATATATTATCATATCGCTGAGCCATAAAACTATAAGACTTTATAGAAATAACAATTTGTGACCCTGGAGCACAAAAGCAGTCTTAAGTCGCTGGGGTATATTTGTAGCAATAGCCAACAATACATTGTATGGGTCAAAATTATACATTTTTCTTTTATGCCAAAAATCATTAGGATATTAAGTAAAGATCATGTTCCATGAAGATATTTTGTAAATTTCCTACTGTAAATATATCAAAACTTAATTTTTGATTAGTAATATGCATAGCTAAAAACTTCATTTGGACAACTTTAAAGATGATTTTCTCAATATTTAGATTTTTTTGCACCCTCAGATTCCAGATTTTCAAATAGAATTTTCAAATCTCGGCCAAATATTGTCCTAACCTAACAAACCATACATCAATGGAAAACTTGCTCATTCAGCTTTCAGATTATGTATAAATCTCAATTTCGAAAAATTGACCCTTATGACTGGTTTTGTGGTCCAGGGTCACACATATGGATTTCAGTAAAGCTGTTTTGAAAAGCACTATACTTGATTTAATGAAACGGAATGCTTTAGCTAAACCAGCTGTGTTTCTACATCAACAATGGTTAAAAAGAAGTGCATAAATGAATAAATGTTAGCTTGCAAGCATAAGTGCACAGTGAATCACTCTGTGCATATCTGACTGACAGCACTGCGCCGCTGTTTCAGACTCAGTCATATATGAAATAATGTGTATTTTACTGGAAACGATTTTTAGTATCATCCTGGAATTCTTTTGTAATTTATCTCTGCCTTCTGTCATTTCTTTGCTCTGTCTTGTGTGTCTCAGGGACCCGAGGCGTGTTGTGATCCACAGAGGATCGACGGGTTTGGGGTTTAATATAGTTGGAGGGGAGGATGGTGAGGGAATATTCATCTCTTTCATCCTGGCAGGAGGCCCTGCGGATCTGAGCGGAGAACTGCGCAAAGGAGATCAGATCTTGAGTGTGAGAGCATGCAAACACATACACATTGTTTTCACACCGTGTGTGAATCAAATCACATGTTTTGAACCTATAATTACAGTATGATGTCCCTGACAACTCCATTTAATACCAGCCATGATGTTGGTCAGTAGATCAGTATGTTTAATTAGTAATGCATACAGTATGTTTTAATGGAGACTCCATCCCATTAGTCCTGACCAGCATTTTTGTCCATAGATCTATACCTGACAGTCAAAGACAAAGTGCAAAGTATAAGACACAAACGGCCTTTGCACGAAAATAAAAAACAGAAAATCCAAGAAAAATCCAAAACATCTATATTGTGCTTGGAGTATGCAGATAACTATTTGGTTTAAGGAATTTCTCGCTTTTAACGATGTGTGACTAAACCATACGACCAAAGAAAAGGACAAAACTGATTCAATAAAAGCATGATAAAACACGATCATTAGCGTTCGGTCGATATGAAAGTGTGATAATTTCCTTAAACGATACAAGCTCCGTTGACCTTTTTTTTACACACAGCTGCACAAGTTCAATTTTGCATCAATAATAGTCCCAAGGTGTTTATAGGATTGCACATACTCAATAGTCTGACCTTTAATTAAAGTAGCTTTATTCATACGAGTGATCCTCCTAAAGTCAATGAGCATATCTTTAGTTTTTGATATATTACGCTGGAGGTAAGATTCCTCACTCATCAATAACTGGGCCGTGGCTGATCTCATTCTCCTGCAGCAGACTGATGATAACCGAATCATCTGCATATTGTCATAGCTGCTCTGACACATATTTGTGCGAAGAATAAACAATAAAGGTGACAGCACACACCCTTGAGGAGACCCTGTAGAAGAGCTTTTCCGGTCAGACAAAATACCATTGTCCCTTACTCTCTGTGTCCTATTTGTTAAAAAGTCAAGAATCCAACCTACCAGATTATTACTTACCTCAGACTGTTCTAAGAGCCTTCTGGTCAAAATGTGGGGTTGGGTTGTATTAAAAGCAGAGGAGAAGTCTATAAATAAAAGTCTGGCGTGTGTCCCATTCCCATCCAAATGTCTAAAAAGCAAATTAAGCAAAGTGACCGTAGCATCCTCCACTCCTCTATGAGGCCTATGCGCAAATTGCATTGGATCCAGAGTACGTTCAGTCTGCCTCAAGATCTCAGACCTGACCAGTTTCTCAAAAATCTTCATTAAAACTGAAGTCAGAGCAACCGGCCTGAAATCATTAATGGTTTTAGGACCTCTAGGTTTAGGAACTGGGACAACCACAGCATCTTTCCAGAGGTTAGGTACATGTTGTGTCTGTAATGACTTATTATAAATATCGTGAAATACAGGACTTAAGTCTTTTGCACATGATTTAAGTGACCGACCACAGACATGATCAGGACCAGGGCTTTTGTTCACCTTTACTGAATTGAAAGCCATCCTAAAGATCAATGTTGAAAGGCTGATTATCCATAAGTTTAAGACTCAATACCTGGTTTTCTTTGCTAAAATCAAAATGATCAAAACGACAATAAAAACTATTTGCAAATTCAATATCCGAGTTAAAACCATCTAACATAACAGGAGTACTGCTGTTTGAATTGTGAAGACCTGCTCTGGTTTTCATACTTGCCCAGGCCGAACCAGAGTTATGTTACTCAGAGTTACTCTTATGTCCTTAATCTTTGCTTTCTCTCTCTTTAAGACAGTCTTACATATGGGCGGTAAATGAATGCAACTATGATCAGCAGAGCCCAAAGGAGGAAGCGGGAGAGGTTTATAAGCATGCTTTACTGACCCATAACAGAGATCTAGTGTCTTACCCCATCTGGTTGGACAGGAGACATACTGCTGGAAAGTTTTAAGTGTGTTTGAGAGAAACCTGGTCAAAGTCGCCAAGAATAAAGTGAGGTGCATCCGGTGAGATCGACTGCAGTCTGTGCACTACATCAAAGATGGTGCTAGAGGCAGAGACAGAATCCGCCTTCGGGTGAATGTACACTGTTGTGATGAAAAGTTGAGGAAACTCACGGGGTAAATAAAAAGGACGCAGTGACACAGCTAAAAGTTCCACATCAGGCGTACAAATACACTCTCTGACAGTCACAGAGGTACGGTTTCGTTTGTTGACATATACACATACCCCGCCTCCATGAGTTTCCACTGTTACCTCTGCTAGCCAACCTGACATAAAACAGCATCAAAACTGTGTAACTTTATGGAATAAAATGTTGACCAATTAAGAGGTAATAATGACTGTCAAGCTTTGGGGTGTTGATCGACTCCATCTACGTTTTGATTATCATTCTGAATCCAATTCATAGTCTTTTCCAGCTTTTTTTGTTCAAAATGTTGTTTATTTATGAAACTTACAGACATTCATGTGTTTATAAAAAAGAATGCATGCCGCTAGAATAAAATGTTTTTGTTTACAAGCAGATACCCTGTTCTTTATACTTAAAAGTATACTTTTATATACTAGAAAGTGGTCCAATTTAGTCCCAAGGAGTATTGAAATAGTACACTTACAAGTATACTACTAGTACACTGATATTTGTATACTTACTACATAAAGTATACTCAAAAATATACTTGAACTTTACTTAAGTATACTTAATAAAATAAACTTAAAGTATACTACTTTTGGGTAAAGGGATCCAGACGATAAGAGGTCGGTGTCCCGTTCACACTCGGTGAGCCACGTTTCAGTAAATGCCATGATGCAGCAGTTCCTAAAATCCTTCTGGTAACGAACATTTCCCTGAAGTGCATCCACTTTATTCCTCAGGGACTGGACATTTCTCATAATAACCCGGGTAAGCCGCTGCTTCCTCAGCTGTAATCTAACGCCACCTCGTTTGCCCCTCTTGCTCTTCTTTTCCACACTCCTCGGCCCATGAAAATCTCTCAAAATAAAGTTTGGTAACTCCAGCCTAAAGTCCATTTCCCGTACTAAACTAACGAGGAATATTGTGTCCTCCCATGGCATACAGTCCCACGGATGTTGCAGGCCAACAACAAATACTAAAAAAGCCACAGCGCGACGAAATAAGAAAAATCTATTTTAGCCAACTAAATCCAGGAGCACTTGTTCATGTGATCAAACAAAATAAAAACGTTAAAAAACAGATGAAAACACATAAAACATCAACACGAGTACGCCAAACTCTCATTAACAGCATGCACATGTTATAATATTTGACAATATTGCTGTTTTTTTTTTTTTACAGTATTTTTGATCAAATAAATGTAGCTTTGCTGAGCATAATATACTTCTTTAAAACATTTGAAAAATATTACTGACCCTAAACTTTCAAACAGTATACAGTAAATAACAATGTATATATATATGTATATGTATGTATATATATATATATATATATATATGGAATAGTTATTTTTATACTCCTATATTGTGCATTTTTATTTATATTGCTGAGCATGCTGATTGTCATAATATTATTATGTAATTTAAAGGGATAGTTCACCCAAAAAGTGAATATTCTGTCATCATTTACTGACAGAACCCTCAGGTTGTTCCAAACCTGTTTGAATTTCTTTCTTCTGTTGACCAGATGCTTGTAACTAAACAGTTAACGGTAGCCACTGACTTCCACAGTATGGAAAAAATAAATACTATGGAAGTCAGTGGTTACCATCAGATGTTTATGCTGAAAATACAGCTGCGCATCACAGAAATAAATTATATTTTAACTGATATTCACATATAAGATGGTTATTTTGTATGAAATATTTTATATGTTTTTATTGTATATTTATTCAAATAAATGCAGCTTTGGTGAGCAGAAGAGACTTCTTTCAAAACATTTTAAAAATCTGAAAAAATGTGAATCCTAGTGTATATGGAATAGATATTTTAGACTCACACACACCACATCACTGTGCAAACTGACACAAATGGTTGATTTCTAATAGCTCTTCTGTGCAGTGTTGGATAAGAGTTGTGTTTGTTTGTGCAGAGTACAGTCGATTTGAAGCTAAAATTCATGATCTCAGAGAGCAGTTGATGAACAGCAGTATGGGCTCTGGAACAACTACATTACGAAGTAACCCTAAACGAGGATTTTATATCAGGTAAACATACAACACACACTACAACTACAGATTACCAGCCCTTCAGTCTTTTAGTCTTCTGTTACTTTGAAAGGTGGAGAGAGCTCTGGACTGGCAGTTAACATGCACACACTAAAATAGACGTCACATGTACAAATCTGGCTTACAATATTACTGTAGTTCCAAATCCATTACCCTTGTCTTCTCTGCATCTTTTCCTCTCCTCTTTCTACTATACTACAGGTCAGAGTAGATGTATACTCTTGTATACTCTGTGCAATATGCTACTTTTTGGTATGTAAGCCCTTGTGAAAAAGAACGCTTTAGCATACTTAAGTGAAAATACTTAAGTGTGAACTGAATGTGAAGTTTTCGGACATTACATTTCATGTTAATTGCAATTAAATGAAAATGCACTATAGTGTAAATGTATATTAAATGCAGGTAGTTTAAACTTAAAAGTGCTTTTCTGTCTCACTTAAGTAGGACTTAAGTGCATCTTTATATGTCATTTTATAATTACTTGTATTGTCTTTGAAATATAGTTAAAGTGTACTACTGAATGTACTGACAAACATTAATGGTGAAATAAAATATACTGTAAATATAATAAGATACCAAAATATAATGCATTATCTATTGAAGCTTGAATGTAATGTATTTAAATATATTTGTAATTGCTCATTTGTAATAATGGAGTTGCAGTTTAGTACATTTAAAATATTTTAACCTTAAATGTCAAATAAAACAATATACAGTACTTCACATGTGCTTTAGTATGTTAGTCAACACTTCAAAATAAGTGTTTTTCTTGATAAAAGATGATTAAATCATAATGAGTTAAAATGTACTTTATTAATTTGACGTTACAAAGTTCACTTTTTAAAAGTCTACTTAAGTGTGTTAAGAAACAGTCATGAATACACTTAAGTGGCCTTTTATTTGGTTAATATTATCTACAATTACAGTCTTAAAATATACTAAGATTTAAAGTACACTACAAGTGCACATTCATTACAGTTAAGCGCACTTATTTTTCCACAATGGTGGATTTCCCAGATAACCTACAACATTTGCCAAAATGATCAGTATATAAGCAGAGCACACTGCTTATACTGTATCCCATAATCCCCTGCTCTCAACTTGACCTTCCACGTGTGAAGAATGAACTGGATGCTATATACACAACAATGCTAACATCTCTTTCTCAATACTTAAGTGCTCATATTGAAGTGTTTAAGATGGGATCACGTGAGAACAAGGTTTATCTCTGCATGCTGTTTAACATAGTCAACACTGCACTAGAAGGCTAGTGTTCCATTCTGAACAGAGCTGATTAATAAAAATGAAAAAAGGCCATAAATAAAAGGTCTGTGTTGCTCGATTTCAACCTAATTCCATGCTTTTCCTTTGATGTTCTTCCTTTTCAACCCCTCTCTCTCTGTCCCCCTTTATCCTCTCTTTTTCCCCGTGACTTATGTTCTCTCTCTCTCTCTCTCTCTGTTGTTTGGCAGGGCTCTGTTTGACTATGATAAGACGGCAGACTGTGGTTTCCTGAGTCAGGCCGTGGGCTTTAGGTTTGGAGATGTGCTGCATGTTTTGGACTGTGGAGATGATGAGTGGTGGCAGGCCTGCAGACTCAGCCCACAGGGGGACGAGGAGGGAGATGTGCTGCATGTTTTGGACTGTGGAGATGAGGAGTGGTGGCAGGCCTGCAGAGTCAGCCCACAGGGGGAGGAGGAGGAGGTCGGCTTCATCCCCAGCAAGAGGAGGTGTGTGTGTGTGTGTGTGTGTGTGTGTGTGTCGCTGCTTTCTCTTGTGTTTTCTGCTCTGTTGTCCTTGAACAAAATTATATTCAAACGGCTTAAAGAGGCGTTTTAGCTTTCAACTAGCTTTCGTTCTAACACAAGGACGTGTTCTAGAGACGTTCATCCGCACAAACATTTCTCTGCAGTCATGTGAAAAGAAACTTCTGGGATAAATACTTAATTTAAGCTCTATTGACAGCATATGAAATGTTACAATATAATTTTGACTCCCTCAGATTATAAAAATGAAAATTACACTACTATTCAAAAGTTTGGGGTCGTTCGATTTTTTTACAATGTTTTTGAAACAAGTCTCTTATGCTCATCGAGGCTGCATTTATTTGGTCATAAATACAGTAAAAACAGTAATATTGGGAACTATTATTACAATTTAAAATAAATGTTTTGTATTTTATTATATTTTAACATTTTTTTCTTATTCATATAATTTAGGGTACATTTCCTACATTTAGGGTACATTTTTTAAAAACAATATGATTTCTCAATAAAACAACTATTGGTTTATATTTATATATTTTATCATTGTATCTTATCTGCTCGTTACCAAGCTTATTCATTAAAAACCGTTTTGATATTACAAAGAAAATTATGTTACATGATCCTGGTCACATAGTTTTATATATTAATATATATACATATATGTGTGTGTGTGTGTGTGTGTGTGTGTGTGTGTGTGTGTGTGTGTATGTATAATATGCTGATTTGCTGCTCAAGAAACATTTCATAATGTTATCAATTCTGAAAACAGTTCCACATATTTTAGTTTTATTGCATCAGTCTCATGTAAGTTTTTTTGGCTGTAATGTCATAAGAATGTGGGACGAATTCACTAAACATTTGTGCCATTTTTGCATGTGCTATTTCAGCTCAAATGAACAGGTGCTTTCTGCACTAGGGGTGTGTAATATGTATCATGATAATATCATAATTGCTGTTTTAACAATGCATGAATGAACTGACATTATCCAGTATGTCACTCACTTTACAAAAACACACCATGAGTGTGCACACATTTACTGCATGATGTAGCCTATTAGAAAGCAATTAGTATGCCCTCCAAATTTAAGATTTAGGGGGAAAAAAAGAGTTTGTCTTATATTATAGTTAAGCAATATCACACCATCTTATCAGCTGTACAGTCTTTCTGTACAACAACAGCACAGTTCATTCTTAGTAAACTCAGTGTTCCTTCTGCTGTTGTTTTGTTATAAATCTCGTGTCATTCATTCAGATGCATCTCTCTTCCAGGGTTGAGAGAAAAGAGTGGACGCGGTTGAAGTCGAAAGAAAGGGTAAGATCCCTGCTAAAACACAAACGGCTTTAAATTACATAAATTACTGAGATTGGTTTTCCTCCTCTCTAATCAGTTGTGATGTGTTTAGAGCAGCAGTGGTGTGTGTTTGCAGCCCATGGGAGTCTCTCAAGCAGTTGTTTCATGAAAACTCTCGGGCATTGTGAGCTTGTTCTGCCTGTAGGGCTCATGCTGTAGACACAGATCACTGCGCTCACAAACACACACCATTGCATCCAGCACACATGCTCAGTGCTTTCTGTGGGTTTTCCTGGGAAATTAATATTTAGGCTTCGCATCTGTTACCTGCGTATTTTAGCATTGTGGGATTCATACATAAAGTCCCTAAATTGATATTTGCAGAAAAAAATACTTAAATGCACAGGGAAAACGTCCACATGCTCACATTGTCACTTTAGGATGACCTTGTGAAAAAGAAGTGTGCCTAATTGCATTGAGTGTGCACTTTTGGTGCGACTCTTAAAAGTACTTTAAATAATAAAAGTATAAATACTATTTGTGACCCTGGACCACAAAACCAGTAATAAGGGTCAATTTTGTGAAGTTGAGATGTATACATCATCTGAAAGATTAATAAATAAGCTTTCCATTGATGTATGGTTTGTTAGGATAGGACAATATTTGAAAATCTGGAATCTGAGGGTGCAAAAAAATCTAAATATTGAGAAAATCATCTTTAAAGTTGTCCAAATGAAGTTCTTAGCAATGCATATTACTAATTACAAAATATTTTCATGGAACATGATCTTTACTTAATATCCTAATGATTTTTGGCATAAAATAAAAATGTATAATTTTGATCCATACAATGTATTTTTGGCTATTGCTACAAATATACCCCAGCGACCAGCGTTTGTGCTCCAGGGTCACATATTTTAATGAACTGTACTTAATAATATAATATGTAAGCAATAAGGTACTCGAGGCTGTGCTGTATTGTGAATAGGAATATTGTGTTAGGCACGAGTCACTGCAACTTATTCACAATACAGCACGCCTCGAGTACCAAACCAAAAATCTATGTATTAACATGTTACTTTTTCCTAGTAAATTAATTAGATGCTGCCCTTCCGCTAAAACATAGTCCCTGACGGTGACACTAAATGGCAAGAGAATGTTCCTGTCTATTGAAATAATAGGAAATCGTACGATTTTAATGAGAAAACATCAGCTTTTTCATATCTGAAGTCTCCCTGTTGGTTATATGTTTAATGTCGGGAACTTCCCCTGCGACTGCGTATTAAAAAGTTACATTTATATACGTTACAGTAGCGCACATCAGATGAACATGATAGACATCGCGCAGGCGAGATCCTCAACATATGTATTACAAATGACATAAATAAATCAAGTTTAATGCTTTGTATGGGCATATAGCTTAATTCACCTTGTACAGTTATTCACGGTTTTATGTAATTATTATTATATTGTTTTTATTTGTACAATAGGCTAACTGCAAATGTTTCAACAATGTTAACCCCTAATTACATCTAAACTGATGTAGGAAACAATCTATTACAATTTAATAAGCGTTGTCCCCTACATTTCCTTCTGGCAGGACCGAAGTCGAGACAGTACAGGCTCACAGGGTGAGTTACAACTCGTAGGCAGCACAGCACGGCCCTGAATACTGACACAGAATGGAATGATTTGTTGTTGCTTGTATTGCAAACAGAAACTGATGCATGTGTATTTGTTTCTTTCAGGAAGGGAAGAGCCAGTACGGAGTTACGAGACAGTTGCACAAGTGGAAGGTCGGATAACTCGACCATATGTTGTGTCATTTATGCGCTGGCTCTGATCCAAACCCTAGTGAGATGCCTTGCATTCTACGGTCTATGTGTGCAGCGTCCTAAATTAAATAAAAACCTCATACTGTGTGTCTACATACAGTACTGTGCATAAGTCTTAGTTTTAAGCCTGTGAAAAATTTTAGCCAGTGCTGTAAAGTGAGGGTGCTTTCAATGATAATGTCATAAATCGATTTTATTTATCAATTCACTTCTATTAACTAAATCAAATCAACATTTGGTGTGAGCACCCTTTATGTTTAAAACAGCTTTTGTCTGGTGCACTTGCACATAGTTTTTCAGGTAGCTTTGCAGGAAGGTTTCTTGAGTCGTGGCCACAGTTCTTCTGGATTCTGGTTTCTTCAGACGGACTGGAGGATGATGCTGAGATCAGATCTCTGTGCAGCACTGGCTGCTGTGCATTCAGAAATCTCACTGCATTATTACAATTCATGGCAAAAGGAATGTTTGGAAATGTAAACTGATATTTCCCTCTCACACACTACAGTAAACGATAGAATAAACTGACTTAAAACATATTTTTTGATGGTGGAAATACTACTGGCCTAAGACTTTTGCACAGTACTGTATATAGACAGACAGCAACCACACAAACAGAGCAAATAACACTAACGCTGAAAGTCTATTCTAATAGTTGATGTTTGATGTGAAATCAGATCTTTGTAGATGTAACTAATGTGTATTTCAGTACTGAATATCATTCGTTTTCATGTGGGGAGTGTGAGGTCTTTGCAGGCAGCTCACTAGGGTTGAGGTGCTGACTTTTTGTCTGTCATATTTTTGCTATTCTTTCTCTTCACTTCCATTTTTTGCTTTGTCTTCTAGTCTGTGTACTCATATAGCCTCTGTCGTGTGTCTCATCCTGTTTAGTGCACTACGCGAGGCCCATCATTATTCTGGGCCCGGTGAAGGACAGAGTGAATGATGACCTGCTGTCTGAGTTCCCAGACAAGTTTGGCTCTTGTGTCCCTCGTAAGTATTCATCACTCTCAGATGTATATTGCTCAGAAACATGCCGAAAGCCTTCCAAACAACAGCAAGCTCCGATCTGATTTGGCTTTATGCAGTTTCTGAGAGTCAGGGTGCAAAGGTTTTTAATCAGAGGTTTGTTGAATCAAATTTTGAGGTTAATCCTTGAGTGCATATAGGGTTCTATGAAGTCCATTTAATTTTTTTACTGAATTTTATTTAATTTTTTCCCAAATTAATTTTTTTCCATTTTAATTTTTCTGCCTTTTTAATGCTTTAATTAACTTTTAGTAATCACAAAACATGTCAATTCACTGCAATCATGAACCACTCATTATACAAAATTAGAACAATTTATTGTAAGTGTTTTTGTTGCTGTTGTTGTTGTTTAATACATTTTAGAGTTCTATGAAATCTATTTGAATTTTTCCAGATTCCATTGTAATGGTTTAATTAAATTTTAATAATCAAAAAGCATGTCTAATCAACAGAATTCATAGAACTTTAACAATTTAATCATTTATAACATTGAATTGAATTATTCAATTAAATTTTTTACAATATTAGAAATGTGAAAAAAAAAAAAAATATGTATATATATATATATATATATATATAATTATTATTATTGTTTTTTTATTTAAGAAATGCAATCAAATGAAGGCATAAAACATTAACTTCATTAATCTCTTAAAATGTAATCAAATTAAAATTCACAATTTTATTTTTTGGCAAACAAACTGCTGCACAACAGTTATGATATTTTTTATAAATTTTTAACAATTGTGTAATATTCCTTAAAATATTTAATACATTTATTATTGATAATATTATTTTATTATTATTTTGAGAAGCAGTACATTCTATTATATAGTAATAATATATCAAAATGTATACCAAGCTTATATTTTGATGGGTTATCATGAAGAAATTTGAATTTCTGTGTGTATTAATGTGAAGTGAAATGCTCGTGAAGTGATTCTAAGACAGGGTCCGGAGATGAAGTTTATGTCCTCATATAGTGCAGATGCCTGTGAATGTGAATGAGAAGCATCATTCACACAGAGACACACAGAAAAAACAGACTTCATATTTAAATACCTGTCTTTTTGCGCTTTAATATCCACAGACACTAGTCCATTTTGTGACTGAACTCATTATACAGCCCTACGTTTGATTATTCATCCACAATTTACCAAATTGTGCATTATACTGTAAATTCCGTTTTTATGACTGGATTCCACATTTCTGGCCAGAATCCAGTTCAGTCTGGAATCACAGGGCCCCGATGCATATATAATCTCTCTTGCTCTCATCTCATTTCAGTAAAAAAACCTCTCTTTAGATGCTTGCCCAAAATTTCTCTGCCAACAGCCTCCTCTCTTATGATAAACAACTCAAACAAAATGAATAATTTTCAGCACACCTGTCGTCTGCTGCCATTAAAGGTGCCGTATGTAAGTTTTTGACTCTACTAAAGCATAAAAATACCATAATATGTTTGCAGATATGTAAGAAACATGCTAAGTTAGCATACTTGTATATCTGAAAAACAATGCTACAGTCAGTTATTCTCCTTTGAAAATGTGCGTTCCGGGCCGGAATGTCGGTCTCTGTTTTGGTTTGTGAAACCCGCCCACTGCCAGTTTACCCAATTGTATTTCGGCACCAACAAGTTTGTATTTGCCAGTTGGCAGAAAACACAGCGTATTTCATTTCATTCATCGTCAAGTGCACGCGTTCCTGTTGGTGTCGTCAATCTGGCAACCTGCGTGTGCGTCAAGTCTGAGGAGGAGGGGCCGGGTGAAAAAAACCCTCTCCAATATTTTGAATTTGGACTGCAATACCTAGTTCAACCACTCGGTGTCAATCCTACATACAGCACCTTTAAGCGTAACTGATATCATAGTCACGAGACAATGTCACCGCTCCTCTCAGATACGACACGACCCAAGCGGGAGTATGAGGTGGATGGACGGGACTATCATTTTGTGTCGTCGCGGGAACAGATGGAGAAAGACATTCAGAACCATCATTTCATCGAGGCGGGCCAGTACAACAGCCACCTGTATGGAACCAGCGTTCAGAGCGTCCGAGAGGTGGCTGAACAGGTTAGATCAAGACAAGGTTTTTTGGACACAACAATGAACTTGTGTATCCTTTTTGCAAATCTTAAAATGCATGTCTGTGTGTTTGTGAGCAGCAGGGAAAGCATTGTATTCTGGATGTGTCCGCAAATGCAGTTCGTAGGCTGCAGGCTGCACAGCTTCACCCGATCGCCATCTTCGTGCGGCCCAAATCACTGGAGAACGTCCCGTATGCAACGCCGAACAACCACACAAATACTTCAAATTAACATGAACTTAAAATGCCCCTATTTAACAATACCTCAATGTATGTCTTTATCAAGGCGAAACTTACATTTCTGCTCTTTTATCCAGAGAGATCAACACACGTCTGACTGAGGAACAAGCCAGGAAAGGTATGGACCGCGCTATTAAACTGGAGCAAGATTTCCTGGAGTGCTTCTCTGGTAAGACAGTTTCACACATCGCCCACTAGTGTCCTGGAGGAATACTGGCACATTTATTAATAAGGCAATACCTACTGTAATACCGTGGAGTTTTATTAATTTACATGACTTTACCAGGTCTAGAAATCACACTTTTTATAATTCAATCATGACAACTCTCTGAATAGTTTAGCATGTTAATAGATATAACATTGTTAGCATCCTGTATTTGCTTTTCGCGCAACTACATCTGCTACGCATGCTGCTGCTGCAGAGCAAGTATGGGCATGCAACTGCCAATAGATACACAGACATGCTGCTGTGAGCATGTAAAATATGCTGCTGTTGCATACATAATTCCCATAGCAGATCTAGACAGGTGTAGCCGGGGGAGGTGGAGGGTTTGAGATGCAGGTGCGCTGCAGGACCAGCTTACAACAAACACTGAACCAGAGTATTTAAATATTGAGCAAGCAATCTAATTGGCAGTCATAAGGGTCCATTTTTTGAAATTGTGATTTATGCACCATCTCAAAGCTGAATAAATAAGATTTCCATTGATGTATGGTTTGTTAGGATAGGACAATATTTGGCCGAGATACAACTATTTGAAAATCTGGAATCTGAGGGTGCAGTATTGAGAAAATCATCTTTTAAAGTTGTTCAAATTAAGTTCTTAGCAATGCATATTACTAATTACAAAAATTAAGTTTTGATATATTTACAGTAGGTAATTTACAAAATATCTTCATGGAACATGATCTTTACTTAATGTCCTAATGATTTTTGGCATAAAAGAAAAATCAATAATTTTGCCCCATACAATGTATTTTTGGCTATTGCTACAAATATACCCCAGCGACTTAAGACTGCTTTTGTGCTCCAGGGTCACATATATCAAGGTTTTCCAAGACCATGGTAACCCTTATTCTTCAGAGAAAAAAGTTGTTTAGGGGTGTCCATTAAAATGAGAAATAGCTTGATTTTTAGCTTGTTTTGTCATATTTTAAATTATTTTAAGTCATCTTGAGGCCCCTGGTTGAAAACCTCTGATTTAAGCAGAGCATTGCATGAATGTGAGTTTATGCAAGTTTTTTATTTCACTAAAAAGTTGATTGATACACAAATCAATGCAACCATTTATATTAAATTATTATGTACACTCTAAAAAAAAAAAGCAAAAATTGTACAATAGTACCCCTAAGGTTTCAAAGTAGTACCTTAAAGGTACATATTACTACTGAAAGGCACTAATATGCACCTTTCGATAAGGTACTTTTATTGATTGATAAGTAGGGAAGTTGTCCTTTTAAAAGTACTGCCGTAATTACATGCGGTTAACATTTTTGCAATTTTGCCGACAGTGTTGCATTCACACAACAATGTATAACTGCTTTACACGACGTTTAATTTAGCACAAAAATTAGTTCTGCTCGTGTTGCGAAAATGATGCCCATTCGAGGTACACTGTTTGCATAATTTATTTGAGTAAATGCTGCAATTGCATAAATGCTGGGTTTTTTTCTGCTGTTCTCTCTCTGTATCGCAGCGATCGTGGAGGGCGACAGCTTCGAGGAGGTTTATCACAAGGTGAAAACTGTGATCGAAGAGCAGTCAGGGCCTTATATCTGGATTCCCACCAGGGAGCGTCTGTGAGAGTCCACCCAGAGCCAAACCACCTCGCCCAGCCTGCCCTGGACTGTGGAGCTCCGACTCGTAGAGCTCACGAGAAACAGACAGAGAGAGAGAGAGAGGGAGGGAGAGATGGAGAGAAGTCACCGAGACTCCGGGAAATGATGGAGTGGAACAGCACAGGAGCTGGCCACACCGCATCTGCCTCTCTTTTCCTCCGTTTCCTAGCTTTGTAACTTCCTTTTTCTGCTTTTAACTTCCTTTCTCTGCCTTTTTCTCAGTCCTTCTCTGTTTCTTTCTGGCTTTCTCTCTGAATAGCGTCCTTTCACACAGGACTGGTGAGCTGTTTTTACTCTGTCACGAACTGGGATGCTACAAAGAAATTTTGTATATTGTCAGATTCCCTCTCGCTCTCTCCGATCAACACGGGAAGTGGAGAGAGATGAGCGACCGCCTTGGCTTTTACTGGAATGAGACATTCAAGAGCCGCTCCTGATTAAAGGAGCTCGTTTCTAAAGTTGAGTTGAACTGAAATAAGAAAGTATATTTATCAGAATCAATAATGCGCTGAAATCTTCTATCTACTCAGAGACTGACGTTCACTCACAGTTATCAGCATCAAGGGCGTTTTAATTCCTTTTCGAAATTTAAAGTGCTTGACGTGTGCATCCTGAAATCCAGGAAGTACTGAGCTAGCAAATCTAAAAAGTTTGCCTCAGTCCTCCGAATGTTCCCCTGAAATAGTCTGCAGCTAGTTCATCACGTTGAATGGATGATAAGGAAGGAAAACAGGAAGACGCAGACTGTGACTTTCGTTCTGCACACCACAGAAAGCCACACGCTTGATGTTCCAGGGTCTGTTTTCTGTTGATTTTCTTGCGCTTACATGTAAACATTCTCATTTAGACACATGCCAACATAGATTTTGTAATGTTTGCCTTCTTCTATCTGGATCTTCTTGCAACAGCCAGATTGATGTTTTCCTTTGAGCTGAAATTTATTGGCTCGGTTGGATTATTTCCCTGAGCGCCACAGCTCAACACAATGACTCCAGGCTGCTCTTTAATGTGCAATATCGGGCTCTTCCATAATCTTCTCATAATGTAACGAATTTTAGCCAACGTAATACTTTCGCCATTTTTACATGCCCGTCGGATTTCAGTTCAGTTCGGATCACACTTGTGCTGAGTGGCTACGTTCACAACGCAATCCAATTCATATATATATATATATATATATATAATTGAACTTATTAAATATCTATATAAAATTATTTATTTAAATGCATTAATATAAAATGATAAATGATATACTCAGTAATTACATTGGGATATTTAATTATTTCTTTCTTTATTTATTATTTATTAACACCTCGCCATCATGCCAGTGTTTGTTTTCACTGTCCTCTGTCTTTTTCTCAGCTAACGTGAATCAAGCATCACCTTCTGATGAGTAGTAGGTTATTTTGATGAAATATAACTTAAAAATTATTTACATCTCAAATATTTCATTGTATAATAGTAGATGTTTTGTTAGTGGCTTTTCTCGTATCACAGCTCATGATAGTTGCTCGTGAAGGCTTTGGGACGGTGTACGTATTTGTGGTGTCATCAGAAAATACAACGCAGACTCACGGCAATTCGTAACAGTTTTGGTGAATTGGTGGCTAATTCGTATGAATTCGTACCATCACATTCGTACGGTTTCGTGCAATAGAGCTTCATGCTTTTTTCTAAAAAAACGTACATTTTCGTACAAAATGCATCGCATGAATTCATATGAAATTGCCACCTTTAAAATAGATATGCATGCTTATGAGATCAGGTTGGAAAAACACGAACGTCAAGTCATCTTTCTGTGTCTCCAGAGTGATTAGTCACATGACGTTTACGGCTCAGAGTTGAATTCAATGTGATTTTTCCCCATTCAGCTGCAATGTGAACGTAGCCTTGCTGGCCTTTCATTCAGCCCTATAAACTCTCCGTACACACACACACTTAAACACACACACACGAATACTATCAGGAAAATAGTGTATTGTACGATGTTTTTTATGCTGTGTATCAGATGATAATTAACTCTTGCAATCAAACCAATGAGGCTACTTTGATGCATCTCAATGGACAGTCAGTGGACATCATCACATCAGTTCATTGGTGGGTCGATGATGTTGCCATCACCGAAGGGATCTTAATGATGCTGGAGTTTTATTGGAATACGATCGTGGGTTCATTATGTTTGATGAGATTATTAGAGAGAATAATCCGCTTAGCCAGCTAAATTTAACAATCTAAGCCTGCCTCCGACTAATTACCCTTCTCAGAGCGAAACACTCATTTGTAAACAATTTTACCCATAATGCTGTGAGGTTGACAAAGTGCCCACTTCAACCCTGGCCGACAAGAGAATGGCAGAATGATAAATTGGCTTTTTTACCGTTTTGTGCCGTGACAGCGATGCGGTAAAATCGATACGGTGCTTTGAGCTCAGAGGGCTTCACATTCAAGGTCTAAAGTAAGGATGAAAACTATGGTTTGTCCTGAACACAGTCCAGGGGTTTGCATCTGATTTAAGTGAGATTTCCTGTAAATCAATGCCATGAGCATTACTATGGTGATTTATGGAAACGGACTTTGGTTGAGACTAATGTAACTGGCACCGTTTGTGTCAGGCCAAAAAAAAAGTTGATAAGAAGAATGAAACACATTTGCACTTATTAAAGGGAAGATTCGATCAGGCGTGATGAACAGCAGAAGGTTTCTGGTGGAAAGCAGAGGAATACAGAGCGATCCGGTGGCTTGTTTACTTTCACTTATTTTCTTTTGACTTTTTGCGTTTGAATTTCAATATTTATGTGTGTTTGGAGTGCAGTGACAGTTCTTTTCTTGCCGTTATTTTTATTTATAGATTTTATATAATTATTTAATTGTTTACTGCTTTGTTTACATCAGGTTTTGTGTGAAGACTGAGACGCTTTTGCTGTGGTTTCCAAAGTGGAGCTGCACACAATCAAATGTGAAAACTCAAACTAAAAATTAAACTTTACTGTGAAATAAAAAAAAATAAAAAATTAACTTGCACGCATTACACATACCACATACTTTTATAAACATAGCCCTTAAATAAATTTCCCAAATCGTGTTATTGGCCACATAAATAATAAAAAATAAGAACGTATATTGCAGTTTGTATGAGCTGCACAAAAGTGCTCACACACACACACACACACACACACACACACACACAATGTATTACCAAGAGAAATATATGATTTCACTCTTACTAGAATGAATTATGAGTTGAATTTATTTATTTATTTGAAAGAATCAAATGTACTTTATCGATTTGTATTTGCCATAACATATTCTAATTATCCTGAACAGACTGAACATATTGCTTTTATTTTAAAAAAAGAATAATTATGAAAATACAACAATGCCATCTGATGCAAAAGTATATTTAAATGATTTATCTTAAAAGAGAGATTTACCAATGACAGTATCGGATAATAAAAATGTTTAATTTCTGTGAGATGCTTGTTGTAAATTAGCTACAAAAATAATAAAACTAATTATGTTAACAAGTGTTCTGTTGAAGCTTTTGTTACGGTGTGGATGGATAATAACAGTGTGGATGTATTCCCAATTGCATAGACATACTATTTTTGAAGTATGCATACTGCATTCCATTATGTCTTCATCAGGTTTGTAGAAATGTAGCATTGCATCAGTGTCTCAGCAATGGATGCTCTGCAGTGAATGGGTGCCGTCAGAATGAGAGTCCAAACAGCTGATAAAAACATCACAATAATCCACAAGTATTATGGATTATTTTATTATGGATTAAAGACTCGTCTTTTAGCCGGAAGCAATGGTTTAAAGTTGAAATGCCTTGATGGAGTTGTTTCTTACAAACACGCAGCTTTTGGCTTCACAAGACATTAACTGATGGACTGGAGTGGTGTGGATTATTGTGATGTTTTTATCAGCTGTTTGGACTCTCATTCACTGCAGAGCATCCATTGCTGAGCAAGTGATATAATGCTACATTTCTCCAAATCTGATGAAGAAACAAACTCATCTACATCTTGGATGGCCTGAGAGTGAGGACATTTTCAGCAAATTTTCATTTTTGGGTGAACTATTCCTTTATTTAGTCAATGTCATTCAGTTATCATCATAGAAGTACATACAGTTTTGCAGTTTTTATTAGTAGTATTATTTAAAGGTAATCAACAAATGAAGAAAAGGGTTGCAACTCATTCTGGAGTCATCCATCACAATGAAAATGAAAGGTCAAGTTCAGCACTTTGCAGAAGTGCATGTAGAATATTAAGAGTAATAATAGGAAGACTATGCTACTCTGAACATGCATCATAACTGTGTCACTTTGTTGTACCAGCCAGCAGTGTGAGCTGTCGAGCTACTTGTCTACAACTTCCCTGTGCACTTTTACTGTCCAGAATTATCCAGGCCTCTTCTGAAATCTGTATTTATTTGCTACTCCTAATTTCCACTGAACAAAGGCCTGAACAAAAAACAGTCTGTTCTGTGCTTGCTCAGCTATGCTCAACTTGAATGTGTATATATTCAGTCTGTCTTTCCATCAACTAAAGGGGCTGCACCCTCTTCCTGTGAGGAAGCTGAACAACAAAGATGCTTCCTTACCGCCCTGATATACAGTAACCTGTGTGAGAGTGTTTTTCATGGCTGCTGCTAACCTTCAGGGCACGACGGATGAATTATCGGCCAAAATGTGGCTTTCAACCTATCAGTGCGGTCAAATGTGAATAGCCGCAACACACACACACAAACTAACACGATGATTTTGTGGTATATGCATATCATCTACTGCACTAAAATCAAGCAGATGTCTCGAGGTGTGTGTGTGGAGGTGTGTGCAGTTGTACAGTAGCTGAAATTAAATCATATGGTGAGATTACAGTGAAAGTGTGAAGGACGGATTGGACGTGTGTGTGTGTGTGTGTGTGTGTGTGTGTGTGTGTGTGTCGAGTCTCACCTGAGGGAAGCATTCAGACTGTCAATTGCTTTATTTATCAGCTATGGCTGTCAGAAAGCATTCAGTCATGCTTCTCAGTCAGACTAAATGTGAATGGAACAGACAGAGAGAGAGAGAGAGATGACTGGAGTATAAAAAGGAGAAAGACTGGAAAAGAGGTCAAGGAGAAACATAAAAAGTGAGGAACTAACAAACTTGGGCAGAGATAGGGAAGAAAACACTGACTGGGTTTTGATCTTAGACTAGTGATGGTATTATTCATTCATCATGAAAATTAAAGAAATCTAATAATGCAAAAGGAGTAGTTTGCCTAGAAATGATAGTTCTGTCATTTATTTACCTTCATGTTATTCCATCCCTGCATTACTTTTCTTTCTCCAGTGGAACACTAAACATGTCGGGCAGAATGTTATGGACTGATGACAGCCTCATTCTTCATTACCTTTCACAGCATCTTTTTTTCCCCCATTATGTATATTGTATTAATGTATATATATATTAATATATATATTATAAGCAAATGTATAAGCAAATTACATTTCTATCCTTATTACAAACAAACAAAAAATGGTTTCTACAGTTTATTTTTTTATTGTTGTTGCTGTTGTTATTTAAATTATATTCAGTGATTTATTATTTAACTATAATATTAATATTAAAGTCATACTATATCACTTTTTTTGGTTAAAAAATAAAATGTTATTCATGAGAGAGTGAAAAAATCCATCGTCCAAACTATGTCTTTACCCAGATATGCTTACTGATAAACCAATAATAATGATTTATGTTTTAGAACTTTCGGGTCGGATTTCGCGGTAATTTGCATACACAGGCTACGTCATCCATCCGTGCATATCTATACACAAAAAACGAAGCTTCGAAAGATTATTACAACGAACAAGAAAAATTGGTCATAGATTATTCAAAACTCAAAACTCAAAACGCAAAAAAAAAAAAAAAAAAAAAAAAACCTCACGGGGAATTACTTGTAAAATAAAGAATTCGTTTTTTATGTGTTAGTCCGCTGAGATAAGATGTCCTGTGTGTGAACCACATTCATCCGCCCAGACGAGCAGAGCCGAAGCACTACCAGAACTATGTTCTTCCGCAAGACACATGCAGTTTTAGTTTTTAACCGCTAGAGGGCCAAAAGTTAGCGTGGCTTTAATTGTGATTTTTACACCAAAAAAGGCCTATATTTATATTATATTGTAGATATTTTAAATATTTTATATTTTTAAAAAATTCCATTAATTTGGATTACAATTATAAACTAATAAAGATGCATATTTTTCAGTCAAATAAATTAAAAAAGTAAGAATGAGATTTCTGTAATAGTACTAATAAACAGAATGGAATGAATACACAATAACCAGGTTTATATATTATTCATTAATAAATTCAAGTATATGTAAAACATCTCATACATTTGAAGTAACTGAATATTGCTAATCAGTTAACACATCTATGCACATTCTGAGGAATTTGAATACATTCATATTTAAAAATAAATAAATGCATAAAATCAAATAGTGCATTATACTTAATAAACAATGCCATAATTAATTTTTTGCGCAACTGGCAAACTTGGTAGTACGGTATCAGAAAAAAAAAAACGAGCGGTATTGCCTCTGTTTAGATTATAAGTATTCCTGTGTTTGAGGTGGAGGGGAACCTTCCCACACACACACATTCTCACAAACACAGTTTCCAGTGCCTCCAGTTCTGATCGGGTCATCTGCCCATTGTTTGAAACAGGAAATAGGTCATGTGGTGAGAACAGTAGGGGTGGACGGTGGTAAACGTGTGTGTGTGTATATATGTGTGTGTGTGTGTGTGTGTGTGTGTGTGTGTGTGTGAAGGAGCTGCTCCATTGCCCTTTCTCTAGTCTAGATGGTGTCACAATTCAGCTTGTAAAAAAGGTTCTTCAATGGTTCCTTGCAGTTCAAGGGTTCCTGAGTTGGCTTTTTGATTCTTTACAGATTCAAAGTTCTGAAATGTGTCATTTTTCCGTACGTTATTTAACTATTCTGTTCTCTCTTTCCTGCAGCGTTCAATCTGAGGACTCACACCAGTTTAACTATTAATATCTCTCAGGTTTCAGGTTGTTCTTTCTGCTCTTGAGGTGTTTGTAGTCAGAATGGGGTCAGTCTAACAGAGCTGTGTTCTGGGTAATCCTGCAGGGAGAGTGAAACCCACACACACTTTTCTTTCGGTATGCCATCAAACAGGTATGATACTGATACCTGCGACCAGATCAGGTTGAAACGAGGCTTTTGAGAATGTGTATGTATGTGTATGTATATGTATGTGTGTGTGTGTGTGAAAATTCCCCTCACTACACCTCTCCATCCTGGCTGGTCACCATGGCAACAGAGCATTTTCATGTGTCGTCTCCATCCTAACGTCCCTAATTAAAATGGGTCTGGTTGGGTGTGTATGTTTTGCGCAGACATGCGTGCCTGCGTATGCAGATGTTTAAAGGCCACTAAGGAAAAGTCCATGTGGCAGCAAACAGCAAACGGACCGAAACATTTACATAACATTCTTGAAAGAGGCGTAAGGCACCGATTACTCCCTCTGGCACAGATCACAGATCACCAACAACACCTTGAGTTGGTGCAATCCATCAATTAAAAAAATGACTAATTAATTGCACATATTTATGTTAGTAATCACATTTAATGTTAAAATTAAAATATATTTTCACATTGAATCTCCAGGCCCAAACTGCATGACTATGCATGACTACATATAGCCTACTCTACTCTACTCTACTCTAAAAGTGTATTGCTTTATATTTTTAACACACTGAAAAAAGACATTTGCATTATTTATTTATCTAATTGCATTAATATGCATTACATAAACATGTTTTTAAAGCGTTAAATCAGATATTAATTGCAGAAATGAATGCATTATTTTTGCCACCTCAGCTTACATGTACAACAAAACAAGATATCCATCAAAAACAAATCAGTTCGTTATAAAAACATTACAGCACAAGACATGTTTCCATGAGATTTTCAGATTAGTTTTTCACCGATCAATCAGAAAAGATACATTTGTGTTTTGCTTAAACCATTCTCAGCTAACAGGGAACATTCTCAGCACGTTCTGGCAATGTTCTCTGAAAGTTATGAACAAGCATTCTTCCAGTAATGTGGAACATTCAATCAAAGTTATCTGGTCTTTAATAACGTTCTTAACATGTTAACACAAAAACATTATTTATACATTGTTTATGGAACATGCATGTAAAATTATGAATGAAAAACACATTCAAGCTCATTTTGTTCTCATATGGGTTGTAGTTTTGCTGATCCCAGAGTTTACCCCAAAATATTTAACCCTAACGATCCTAAGAGAAAACTTAGATACGCCTTGGATAAAAGATAATTAAGTCACTTAGTTCACTTATTATTGAGGCAATTACCCCGGAGTAATCAAGGGCACATTACTGAAAGCTCATGGTTTGCTCAAAATGTGTTTGCTGCATATACGATCCAATATGATATCAAACCTGATTTCAATATGAAAATAATGCGTCTTGACATGCATATTTGAATGTATGCAAATGCCTGTGAAATTTTAAAGCTACTGTGTAGGGGAGGTTTTCGGAGAACAGTTAATTTAGGCAAACTATCATGTAGCTGCAGAAATCTGCAATACAGAGCAAAATCATATTTTTGTCATATCGCCTTGGAATTATATGCATTGTGGAAAAACACCATGTAAATAAATGACATTTAGTCATCTTGGCAGCCCTCATCCTCATTCACTTTCATTGTATGGACAAACGTGATTTATTAGGCATTCTGCATGATAACTGTTATACATAATTTAGTTCTGGTCTTTGATATTTTCATTGGTGGAGCCACAACAAACAAAGGTTGAATTCAGAATTGCATACTATCATTCTCTTACTATTTCAGCCATTTTTATGCCATACATATGGCAAAAAATAGTAAGTACACTGATAAAAAATGTTTTTGTGGTTGAAGTAAATACTATCGAAAAACAAATGTAATTACTCAATTAAATAATTTGGTTCAGGCAAAAAGAAAAAAGAGAGTTAGTACTCAAATTAAACTTGAAAGTTTGAACTTATAAGTATATTTTGCTTGGAATTGTTTGTTATATTTAGAAGGATTCTTTAAGTAAACGTCAAAGTAATGATCCTGTTGTTCCCATCATGCACTGGGGCATTAATAATTAATAAGATTCAATTTTTCACGGTTTTCGAGTTTCGAGTATTTACACTGTTGCTTTTGTTGTCAGGTTTAGTAACTTGCTGTTTTGTGACATCTGGAGTTCATTTTCTACTCAAAATGACCCATTCATACTCAAACACTTTCCGCTGATTGTTACCGTCATTGTGTATTGTGTACCAAGTATTGAGGTCTCTGTGTTCATTTGGTTAATAGCTATATTGAGTAGACATATTATTTTAAAAAGGATAATAAGCTGTCTACTTGCTAACTCACATAAGTGAACCACATGCTTTAAAAGCATGTTTTTTTATTCAGTGCTACATTGTTTGAGTAAAGTTTACAAACCAAGACTGACTGAAGTGTATTTGAGTATTGCAAAGTAAACTTAAAACAATTAAGTAAAAATTTTACATAACTTAGTCAAGTAGATTCTACTTAATTCCATACTTAAATTTTACTTAATATGCGTGAAAAAATTAAGTAAATGTTACTTTGTAGTATGCTAGTGTGTCATTTTGAATTCAGCTAAAGCAACTGGCAATGTCTTTATGTTATGTCTAAAATTATTTAAAATATATAGTATTTAAAAATGATCCTTTTAAAATGCAGTTTAGCCATTTAGAAATGCTTTATCAAAGGTGCATTGAGTAGTTTCTTAGTTAGCATTAGCATTGCTGTGTACTATCAGTTAGACGTTGCACTACCATCTATCAGTGTGAACTGTCTCTGAGTTTTATGTATATTATACTGATACTAGTGTGTTTTAGATAACAGTCTTTAAGTCTACACAAGAATGAACTTATCTGCCCAACAAAAAAGATGCAATTCGGGGGAAAACTCAGGATTTTCTCGGTCATCAAATCTTTCTACCTTGTGTATGCCAAACTAATATTCTTGTTTTTTTTCTTAGTAGCAAGTACGTTAAACATGATATCCATGATTGTAAATTCCAGGATTATGTCCATTTTTTATGTTTCCCTGCCTTTAAATGACCCACAAAACCAACAAAATGTGGTTGCTGTTTAAAAGACGTATCTTCCGGTAAACACGGGCAGTTCTTGATTAGAATAAGCTGTGGACTTTAGTATTCAAGACCTGATTTAGAATATCCAACGTTATCATTAACCCTGTATAGCCTGACATATGAAATAATAGTCAGAAAAATATATGTTTAACCGAACAATACTTTTAGACAAATTTATCATTTTATGATTTTTTATTATTTTTTGCTTTATATCATATTTGATACATCAGGCTGATTATGACTTATATAGTATGATATGGTGAGAATATGGAGCTCATACTCGAAGGAGTTAAAAAAAAAACGTTTATTCTGAGGCCCAAACTTGAGCAAAAATATGAAATTTGGTGCAGAT